TGAGAGTTTGCCACTACATTTGCGTTGCTAAAAGTACTAAAAAAGAGTCAAAGAGAGATGATTCCGATGAAGTTACTGAATTGTTTGGTATGTCAAACTAATTATGAAAATGACCTTCTAACTTGTAAACTCACAGTGTGTTGTCTATTCCATCCATATGAGATGTGTTTAATGGTGTCAATGGGCTGATGTCCTGAATGCATGGCATGGGATTATAGCCTTAATTTTTTGATTTTTTATGAGTTATTCCAATCTTATGTGACAAACATATAACGAAGATATATAGGTTGCCTATTATTTTTTGATTTGTTTTTTATGAGTTATTCTAATTTAACGTGACGCGGTGTATAGCAAAAATACAATTAGAGTTTTCAAGCTCTAATGTTATAGACCTAATTGGAGAGAAATCTAGAAAAAACTTTCTGTAATTTTTATTGAATATGAATAAAAGTCTTGATTTCTATAAAATAAACTAGACATTTCTATTTATTCTTGTATTAAAATCCTTTATAAAAAAGGATTTCTAATTAAAACTTAATTAATAAATCCATCTAGCATTAGAATTCCTAAATAGTAAAATACTAATTAAATTAAAAGTCCTAAAATAAGTAGGAAACAAATAATTAAAATTCAAAATTAACTAGGAAAATAATTAAAACAAGAAAACAATAACTTCATGCTTCATATGAGATGTTTCCGGGTTTCTTTTCAAGTTTGACCTTGTCAATTTGGTGTGTAAACTCTTGGGATAATTATTTTATGTCATCATGAAATAGGTTGCGAGTTGATTTGTTTTTGTAATTGGGCTTCATAATTGTTTTTGATTCATTTTATATGAGGCTATCCTGATCTCATGACTTAAGTTGTGGATTTGGCAGGTTAACCCAGGTTTACTTGATTTATTGTTTTTGAATCTCTTTTCAATTGAATATATATATTTTTTAAATTTCAACCTCCAACAATTTTTTTTTCAATTTCATCCTTTAATTTAGGTTGTTTGAAAATTGAGCTTTGTAAATTTTTTCAATTTACTTTTTATGAAGTTATTTTGGTTTTATGGATTTGTTTTTTTATTTTTTCCCTCCTTTTCAACCTTTAAAGTTGAATTTGTTGGAAATAAAGCTTCATGTTTTTTTTTTCTTGTTATGAAGTTATTTCAATCTCATGACCGAAGTCATGAGTTTAACAAGCTAGTATGGGTTGACTTAAGTTTTATTTTTTTGTCTTTTTTTTCCTGATTTTCTCTATTAACATTGAGTTGATTGACATGAGCTTTATATATATATATTTTTTTTTTTATGATGTTATTCTGATCTCATGAGCTGAGTTATGAGTTTAACATTTTAACCCGGATTGATATAAGTAGTTTTTTTTTGCTATCTTTTAATAATATATATATTTTTTCAATGTCATTCTTTTAACATTTAGTTGATTAGGAATTAACCTTTGTAATTTATTTTAATTTGTTTTAAAGGTTATCACAATTTCATTTACCGGTCGCAGATCTGATTAGTTAACCGGGTCGATCCAATATGTGCCGTCTCAATATTTAAAAAAAAATATCATCCAATATGTTACCTTATCAATATTTTTACAAAATATCGTTTAATATGTATCATATTTTGAGTTCATGATTAATTTTGTTTTTTACTAGACAATATGTTAACAATGCGTGGATATTTTTTTATGTTAAGAAAATTGATTTGACTCGCAGCATAGCATGGGCAAATGATTTAGTATTATTGACAATTCCTCAACCTTGATCTTGCAATTCTCAGATACTCGAAGCCTTGAATAAAGGGGAGATCCCATCAACAGGCTCTTTGGTGGAGGTTTTCAATAAGGGTATTCTTGAGCGATGTTTGAAGCTATACAGTGAAATGATGGCAAAGTTACCCTTACCACTTTCTGAGAAATCTCTGCAAAATGTCCATGAAAACTCTAAAGGGGAAGCAATGAAATCTTTTGATGAACAACATTTTGGTCGCCATCATGCAAAGAGATCTGTCATGCAGCTGGATGAAGAAATAGAGAAGGTATTGGTTGTTTTATCAGCTACGTTAATTGTCTTTTCTCCTTAAATTAACTTATGAATCTGCAAAATTCACTTTGAATCCGATTTGCATGGATGTTAAAATTGTCTTTTATATTCCAAAATCTTTTGACAATTCAAACGAACAAGTTGAAAGATGGCTCTGCTTATGGTTTCTTGGAGGTAGTTACTTGATTGAAGTGTTGAATTCTCATGTTGTCTTTTTTGGGAAAAAAAAACAAAAAAACTGAATCCAAGTCCATTTAACAACCACCACACCATAAACTGGATGAAATCTTTAGCAAATACTTCTGTTGAGTCTCCTGCATTGGACAGGCTGCATGTGCTCAGTGTCTCATTTAACAACCAACAGTATTTAGAGTTTGGTTCTAGAGCAACAATATATAAATACATGTAAACCATTTTTTAAGGCTATCAAGTTGCAATACTCTTAACACTCCTGAAGTACTTTACTATGGAAATTCTGTCTAGGTTCATAAGAATTTCGTAATGGCAAATGAATATCAATCAGCAAAGCTATGTGAGGCACTTTATTCTAGATGTGAGGACAGAATGGACCAGCTTCAGGTTCTCAGACTTCCTTCCATGGCAAAATTCAATGCAGGCTTCCTGCAATGCAACCAAAGTTTTGAGCATGAGTGTGTTGGACCTTCAAAGGCAAATTACGAGCTTCGCATGATGAAGGTTCGGCATGCTCTTTGTAATTTATTTTAATTGCGTCAGTTATTGCTCTGTTTCTCATATCTGTAGATATTGATGTTCGAGCTGGAGGGAATATTGAAACGGGAAATCAAATTCAATGCCATTTGGTCATACGTTTTTGATTCTTTAAGATAGCATACATGCCATAATTATCAATATGGAGAACTCATAATCTAAACAAAGTTGTTGCCAACGGAAGGGACATGAAAATCTGAATTAGTGTTAGTGTTAAGATTGTGAATTAACCTTCTAAATATATCCTGATAGACAAATCTCTCTATGAATCATGAAATGCTTTATCAATATAGTTCCATGTGGTGTGCAGATGTGTGCTTTCCTTTTCACTTGTTTACTGACTAGTGCATTGTGAATGTATGATGCGGATCATCAGATGATGGGGAAATCAAAATCTTCATTTATAAAGGAATACAACCACAGGCTATTCAATTGGTTGGTGGCCTTCTCCCTCGTCATGGTGGTAGTGGGCCGGTTTATTATAAAGTTTATTTTGATAGAAATTGGTGCATGGATACTTTTTATCTTCCTAGAGACCTACACGAGGATGTTTTGGTCTGCGGAATCTCTTTATTACAACCCAGTTTGGCATTTTATTGTCGCAGCCTGGGAAACACTTGTTTACAGCCCTTTTCTTGATTTGGACAGGTAATGCTACATTTCCTCAATTGCACCCAAGAAAAATGAATTACATCGTATCTAAAGATAGTGCTTGATGCCATACAATATTCAATTTTATCTTAAAACTATACTGTCATTATTTTCTGCTAGGTTGTGTGATTTTGCTCTTTGATCAGAAGCAATAAAAAACAAACAATTTTCGTAGTTTATAGTTGAAAGCTGTGCTAATCATGTATTCCTTTTACAACACAACGAGCCCTAGCAATACTTTAAAAAAAAAGTTTTATTTTTCAAATGTATTTTGAATGATGTCCCATGTCAATCAGTATGCTAGAAGATAAACAGGCATATTAAGAAGAATCCGGTCCATAAGTTTGTAATTCATGAGCAATGCTCCATTTGTTTGTCATTTTCTTTTGTTGATCTGTTTTGTTTCAATGCAGATGGGCAATTCCACTTGGTTTGGTGGCAGCAATTTTGGTGGTATATTGGCGGTGTTATGGTAGAAGGAAACATGGGTCACAGTGGCTGTTACCCTTGTACAAAAATCCTAAAGGGGGTACTCATAGGCCGAGAACAGACTAAGCCTTGTTTATTTTAATGCATTTCAAAGTGAAAAACACCTTAAAAAGAAATCGCTAACATACTCTAAATGAATTGCGATCATGTGCCTTAGATTTGGCATGGTCTTGCTCCAATCATTTTGGGTGAGCTTTTCTTTTTTCACATACAAAGCCCACCATTCTTTATGTTTTTCTCTTGTTGGTTCCTGAAAACATTTGATCTCAAGAATGTGACGAGTCTGATGATGAAATGAGGTTTGTATGGTTGTGCACTCGTATCATTTCCTACTCCATCGTTTCCAGGGCATTTACTTTGTTGTGATCTGTTCGTCACTTCAATTTGTCTGTTATATCACAGGTGTAGTTTCTATATACAAATGCTGGAAAAGTATAGCCCTATGAGCCATAGATGTTCATTTCAATTAGAGACTGCATTACTGACTGTACAGCCACAATACAACTCCTTTACATTGAAAAGAAGAAGAAAGCTGCTGTTCTATTTTCGTTCTTAATTACCCTTTTATATTCAAGTCCAGACAATTCGTCGAAGCAAATTATCCAAGTGCTCAGGATGCTTCATGGACACAAAAGTATACTCTATGTTACTGCGACTTACTGTGAAGTCTCATAGTCAGAGCACAGGCTAATTATGACAGAGAAGACATATCTCGCCCTTCTTTCATTCATTGTGATTTTCATGTTCTAGTTTCCGTTTCTTCAATCAAATATTTTATTTTTTCTACCTGTTTTTTATATTTTAAGACGCCAAATAAACGCAACTCAAGTTTCTCAGATTATTTTTATCGATTAGTTCTCTTATCATCCTATATTATTTAAGAAATATAAAAAAATAATCATTGAGCTGCCTTTATCGTGTCGCGGGGGATAATCCAGACTCCTAGTGACGAAGAATGCATTTAGAGTATTTGGGATGCCAGTATAAAATCCAAATTTTCAGGCTAAAGGGAATGTATGGCCCATACCAAAAGCCCACTAATCAAACGTCGTCGTGCTTAAGAAACCTTTAAAGTTGGACATGGTACCTGTATATCAACGTCAAGTGTCCATTCACTACTAACCGTTTTTCTGAAACTCCGCTGCTCGCTCTCTATCTCCCTCCAAATGCCGAAGTGAAAAAAATCCCTAACTTCTCCACTGCAAACCTGAAAGCCTAAATCATCAAATTCGAACCGACTCAACTCTATGGACACTCACTCTCACTTAACTGCACCTAATCGCTCTCGCAGCTCTCAATCTCCGTCTCCTTCGCACTCGGCCTCGGCCTCGGCCTCCGCAACCTCTTCCATCCACAAACGGAAACTCGCCGCGGCTGCGGCGGGGGACGACGACCACTTGCCGCCATTTGCTCCGTCTTCTCTCTCCGCAGACACTCGCGATGGCGCTCTCACCTCCAACGACGACCTTGAGAGCATCTCCGCTCGCGGCGCCGACTCTGACTCCGATGACGCTGAAGATTCCGACACCGTCCTTGACGATGAAGATGAAGACTTCGACAACGATTCCTCCATGAGAACGTTCACCACAGCCCGCCTCGACACCACTAACCCCGCTGGCAGCAGCAGCCGGAACACGAAGATCAAAATGGAGAACACGAATGTCAAGATTGAAAATTCTGATAGCGGGAAGGACGGTGGGCACACAGGGACTGGTGCAGTGGGGCCTGCTGCAGCGGGGAGTTCTGGGCCAGGGATTGTGGTGAAGGAGGATTCTGTTAAAATATTTACGGAAAATTTGCAGGCAAGTGGAGCTTATAGCGCGAGAGAAGAGAGTTTGAAGAGAGAGGTATGGTTTATAGTTTCTTTGAGATTCTTGACTACCGTGCATATTTCCAAGTTCATTGCTTGCAATTGTTTACTAGTAACTAAGTTTAATCTTCTTTTACATGGCCTTTACAAAAAAGAAAACGAAACTATGAGTGAGATATTTTAAAACGGGACTTGATATTGATTGATTCGAGCGTTTCAGGAGGAAGCAGGAAAACTCAAGTTTGTCTGTTATTCAAATGATGATGTTGATGAGCATATGGTTTGGTACCTTATTCTCTTTTCTTAAACACATATACTTTTTTTTTTTTGCTGGTTCCTCTTTTAATTATGAATACTCGTGATATCTTTAATTTTTCATTTCTTGTTTGATGGGGTTTGTTACCTCTGTACCAACTCTAGTTATGGTGAGGATTTTAATGTTTGCCTTTGCCTTTGGTTTCTCAGGCTGATAGGATTGAAGAATATATTTGCGAGGCAATTGCCTAACATGCCCAAGGAGTACATAGTTCGACTTGTGATGGATAGGTAACTCTATGAAATCCTTTAGAAGTGCTTACAATAAACAAATTTTTTTATAAAGTGGGCAGAGATTAGATGACAAGAATCCCTCAACTTCTACTATCTGTTTTCCTTTTTGGTTAAGCTGAGAAAACTTCCAGTTCATTGTGAAGGTAACTACTATTACTCTACAGCCTGCATCAATATTAAGAACCAAAATTGGTTTCTTAAAGATATAATCATTTAGATTGACAATGTGTCCAGTAATGGAAATTAATCCGCAATCCACTCACCTATGTATGCAATCACCAGAATTGTATATGGATGCATGTAAGCAGAACCCAATGTCCTTATGTGATACCATTTTGGAGAGTTGTGCTTGATAGTTTATGTTAATGTCAAAACATTGAACTCCTTCCATGTCCTTGAATACGGACATCTAGGGTGTTATTGTATAATTATGATCACTCACTTAAGCATGCAACTTGTGGGGAAGGGCCCAATACCATTTCTTTTTTTCATTGTTGAATCATTCTCAAAACTCCCCTTATGTTAGGTTAGGATTGCTGGTCCCAAGCCCTGATTATTATACGGACATCTAGTTGTGCTTGTTAGGATTGCTGGTCCCAAGCCCTGATTGAGGGTTGTGGTAGGTTGACAGCCAGCTTAAAACCTTGTCATCTTTATGATATGGATCGTTTTGATATGGCACAAAAGTGTTCATGTATGTTTTTCAATACAACATGCAGAAGCCACAAATCTGTGATGATTATTAGACGCAATCAGGTGGTTGGTGGTATCACTTATCGTCCATATGTCAGGTTAGTTCTCGTATTATTAGTGTTGTTTTTTACTCATTCCAACTTCAAGTGCACTGTTGTATTATTATATATTCTTAGGTGGAGTAGAACTTACGAGCTTAATTAGGATACTTTCCCTGACTGACTTGGGAAAAGGCGAGGGTCATTCGTTGCTTTTTAGCATTTTGTTTGAACTGCAATCATAATTTTGTAAGATGAATGAATGATTGATTGATCCTGTTAAGTTGGTATAATGAGAAGCAGATGATTGGAGTTTGGTTTTGTCCATGTAACCATAGCACTAAGCTTAAATATTTGAATGTGGATTGCATATTTGCATCTTTTCCCTTGTACACCCATGTAGCAATAACCACTCATTACATGAAAGTATTTTATTTCTTGTTGTTGTGATTTCATCTTTGAAACCTCTTTTATCCTAATGCCATTGGTTACCTTAGTAACACCTTTTTCCTTCCCAACCACAGTCAGAGGTTTGGGGAGATAGCTTTTTGTGCAATCACCGCAGATGAACAAGTAAAAGGTTATGGTACGAGATTGATGAATCACTTAAAGCAGCATGCACGTGATGTTGATGGGTTGACACATTTCCTGACGTATGCTGACAATAATGCTGTTGGCTATTTTATCAAGCAGGTGGGCTTTCTATTTCTGGCAAATTCTTTGCTGTGGTGATTTATTGTTTGTTTCAACCTGGACCTGCAATACCCTGTTGATTTATAAGATTTGCCCACAATCCTCCCTGTTTATTTTTTGTTATGAAAGCTGAATCAGTAATAAATACTGTTTAGATTGTAGCTAATTTCTAGTTAAACCTTTGTCTTAAATGGAAATGCAAGATTTGATAGTGGTGGCCCTTGTCTTGAGTTCTGTAACTTTCACAATTCATTTTTTTCATGAACTGCTTATTTGTTAGATGTTACTATATAATTGTTCAGTTTGATCTATGGAAGATCTCATTCTTGATGTTCTGCACACTTATTACTCGAATGTTACTTCTGATAGTTTTGTTGCCATATCCTTCTGAAATACATTGGTTTCCTATGTAATGTTGTGTTCTTTTATTGACATGTAGGGTTTCACAAAAGAGATTTACTTGGAGAAAGATCGATGGCAAGGGTATTGTTAATTTACAAAGTCTAGTATTATTAAGAAAAATGAAGGGGAGGGGATTGGATAAAGGCAGGGCTTCAAGTACAGTTCTGCTTTGTATTATTTTACTGAAATTGTGGTTTGAGAGGGGGGGATGTTAAAATGAAGAAGTTTCAAGTTCATCACATGGACTTGTTTTTCCCCCTTTGTTAGCCTTGTTGGTGTATCCCATCCTTTTCTATCACTGTCCCTCAGTTTATGAATTCATTTGAATTCCAGGTATATTAAAGACTATGATGGAGGTATCTTAATGGAATGCAAGATTGATCAAAAACTTCCTTACACTGACTTATCAACCATGATTCGTCGTCAGAGACAGGTGAGATGATAGTCTACTTGGTCAATGTTTTCTTTGTGAAATAATGTAGTTAGATCATAATATTTGGAAGTCGGTATCTGGAACATGAATTACGATAAATGGTCAAATAATCCATTTGAGCAGTATATCTTCTTTTTCTAAATGCTCAGCTTGTTGGGCCTTCTTTGTTTAAAGTAAGCAATCTGAATATGTTGCCGCTGATTCAGAAGCTTCGTCAATTTCTATAATTCACTCCAAAACTTTATAATAAGGACATGTGTCCTGAAGTTACATCTAAAATTGAATTATTGGATCGAGATTACTATGTGATTTCTGGATACAATGAAAGCCAGTATGTCTATACGATGCTTCTGAAACGGACGCACTAATTCTAGTAAGAGACTGTTCCAGTATGTTTTACTTGTAAAGATCACAATCTCTTGCTACCATTTTCGTTGATCCTGATGGGTTTTTCTTATATTATAATCATATACTTTTTACATCCTTAACTTCAAAGATTTTTATCATACAACCTTGAGAAATATTGCCCTGTTTTTCTTGTTCCTAAACCAAAGCTTCTCGGGATGTTGACTGAATACATTTATAGAATGTAATTAGTTGGATTTATCATAGTTGCGTTGCTTAGTCTGGAAACTTAGATTTTTCCTGTACATGTCTTTCAAGAGGTTCTTTAATCTAGAACTTGTTGAGCAGAACACCAATAGTATCTATCTATCATATTGTAGGTTTCTCGCATGTGGCTTCCTGTCAGACTTGCTGTGCTGCCAGTCTGCCATGGACCTTTTAGATTACTACTCCACTCCATATGTATCACCTACAGTACTAATTTCTGTGCACAAGTTCAGAATTTATCATCCTGATGATTCTCCCTGCACTTCCAGTAATCTTTTTTTCTTATGATGATAGGCAATTGATGAAAAGATAAGAGAGCTATCCAATTGTCATATCATCTATCCTGGAATTGATTTTCAAAAGGTATGTGCCATCAGCAATCTACTGCTTATCCTATAACTTGATAGGTTCCTTTTCTAGATTGTACGTGATTTCTATCTAGCAGTACAGTTTAGTGCTGTGTTTGTACATTGGATTAAAATTATACTGTGTACTAATTTTCATTCAGAAAGAAGCTGGTATTCCCAAGAAAATCATCAAAGTCGAGGATATTCCTGGCTTGAGTATGTTTTTGAACTTGGCTTATTGACTTCTTATTAATTTTGAACACTCTTTTGCCACACTTGGTACATACCTATTGAAAATTATATGATATAATTATAATTGAAAGTTTGGAATGTTGAGAATGAGATTTTTTTTGAATGCGATAATAGGGGAGGCTGGGTGGACTCCTGATCAATGGGGCCATTCACGTTTCAGAACATTAAACTCTGCTTCGGATAGTGCCACAAATCAAAAATATTTGACTGCATTTATGCGCTCACTTTTAAAGGCAAGTCTCAAAAATACTTCTCTTTTCTTTGTCGTTTTCATCTTGTTTTGAGATTTCTTTCAGACTGATTTCTGTCACAATGGCAGCCAGTCATGAAACTTCCAGAAATCTTTAATTGTCACCATATTTTGTTGCAAAATGAACAGAATACTGCTAGGATAGTGTTGCCATGACATGGTTGCAATGGAAATGCTCGTGGCTGAAATTGCCCTAATTGAAACTTTGATATCCTTGAGTTGAGAATACGTGTCTGTTTGGATGCCAGTGTTTGAAGTTGATTTGTTTTATTATGTTAAATTCAAAAGCTCAACTCAATGTGAAGGTTGTTGATGGATTGCTGTGCCAAATATATGTGCTTTATGTTGTTGCCGTCTTGCTATCTAAAAGCAAGACATACTGTTGGTAATAGATAGTATTCAAATGATCAACAATGGAACAATTAACTACTTTTTTTTAGAGAGATCAAAATCTGATAGAATCTTGTCAATGACTTAAAGATCGTGTGGACTGGGAAACTATTGTGCTGCTTTTATCAAAGAAGACCTGTCAAGCACTTTATAGCTGTTCTATATTAATTGTTTTTGGTTCCTCATAATGCTGTACTTGATCTTCTAATCACTTTATAGTTGCAAATTCATGCAAAATAGTGATTGTTTTGCTATTGTTAATATTCTTTGGATTTTCACATCTGCCAATCCTTAATGCTTTGGATTTGCAATATTTTTTGCTCATATTTATGCGTTCTCCTTTTTCAGTGTTTGAAAATCACTAGAACAGTGATTCTCCTGCCTATGTCATATTCATTGGATTCTTACTGCATGGATTTTGTGTTAGCAGTCAATGCATGACCATGTGGATGCTTGGCCGTTTAAGGAACCAGTTGATGCTCGGGATGTCCCTGATTATTATGACATCATCAAGGATCCCATGGGTAAGATATCAAATTTTTCAGTTTCATTCTGGCAAGGTATTTCTTGTGATGATTCTCTGATTGACAGGCATGTATACTGTTAAAATAATACATGTATAGTGTCTTCATGTCTGTTATGCTGTAAAAAATCTCTAGAAGCATGGGTTGGGTCACAACTGTAACAGAACCAAAATGTTGAAGCTCAGTCACGAAGATAATTGATAGCTGTAATATTTTCTGTTTTAAGCTTGTAGAACTCAGTTGAAGTTTCATTCTGGTGACCATTATCTGGTACTTGAGTTGATCTATATGGACAAGTACAAATCTTTGTAGCATTTTGATAACATCGGATAATTGGCTAGAGTGTTTGAATTTCTTTTTTGGAATTTACTGCATAATTTGGTATGAAAAAATAATTTCTGATTCCTACCTATTATTGAGAATTTCACAAAAAAAAAGAAGTTAAAATTGGATCATATGTATGAGTCTGTCATGATCATCCACTATGCCTGCAGATCTGAAGACGATGTCAAAAAGGGTAGAGTCAGAACAATACTATGTAACACTTGAGATGTTCATTGCTGATGTTAAGAGGATGTGTGCCAATGCACGGACATACAACTCACCTGATACCATTTATTACAAGTGTGCAACCAGGCATGCTCATCCACTTGTGCTCTCTGTTTTAGCCCCCCCCCCCCCCCCCCC